GTGGCTGCGGAGAGGGAGGATGGGGATGTAAGGAGCCTGGGTTCCGGACCCAGGTCGGGTAGGCCTGGAGTCGGCACTGACCAGACCTTCGGGCTTTAGCGCCTCGGAGGCTGAGAATTGGGAGCGGTGGGCGCGCGCGCGGCTGCACACACCCTGCCGGTCCCGGGGAGTCGCTGCAAACGCCGGCGTCCTGCAGTCGCGGGGCGAAGGAACCGCCAATCCCGTGGGGTGCTCAAGAGCGATGGCCCAGGAGACCCCCATCCCTCCCAGAGCCCTGGAGCTGACCCGGAGGACTAGAGGGGCGGGCAGGACTCTCTCCAGGTTGTGTGCTGGAGAGGCGAGAAGGAGGTGGTAGTAGTGGGCATGGTTCACTATTGTTTTCTTACGCCAGGGTTTGTAGTCGTGGAGGGGTGAGGGGGTCTGGAAGGTTCTCGGCTTTTCCCGTTAAAGTGTTTTGAGAAACCCATCTTTCCACCGCAGTAGTATTAAACCTAATAAAGCAGGCACTGAGGCTGTTGGGGTCTAAGAGCGGCCGTAAGAAAATTGCTATGTTTAAACTGCCGTTAATTTTCAAGATAAAGTCGAGAAGAAAGTTGTCGTTTTGGGGTTTTTGGCTTGATAGTTCCTGGCGAGTATCAGTCCTTTTCCTGTGTGCTGTCATTTTGTCATAAAGGCAAACCTATAAAAAGCGATTTCCAGAAACCTAAAACGAATCCAAAGCCCTTTTTTTTTTTTTTTTTAGGATTTCAGTGAAAACAGAAGGGAGGGGAGAGTGGGAGTTGAACGAGCAGGAGAGAGGGTGTTTCCGTTCACAGGCAACATTTAAAACTTGTGAAGGGGTGGGTCTGGGGAAGCCACAGCGAATGCTAACCTATCAGAGGCCACAGAGAGTCTTAAATTAACACATATTGTTTTTTTTAACAGGATTACCTCAGTACTGTAAGTAGGTAGGCGTGAACTCTGATCAGCTGGAAGCTCTTTCTTCTCTTTGGTTCTGGTACTCCATGCCCTGGCCCCAGGATTCTTGGTCAGATCTCCTGTGTCCTCCTGTATTTCTCCTAGTCAGGATATTTCACTTTTCTTGCTCCAGATTTCCTCTCTCTGCTGCAGACCATGAAACTGTCATTTTGTTTACGTGGAGATGTTAAATACAGTATTTGGAAACGTCTGCTCAAGGTGCCAGGTTGTTTCTCCACTTGGAAAGAATGCTGATTTAACATTTGTAAATTGGGTTGTATTGTTTCCTTTTCCTCTTATTAAGGACTGCTTTTCAAATCAAGATCTGGTAAGAAGGCACCCTTAGATTGTTAGTTTGTCTTTAGTAAGGCTGACTGCTTTAAAATTACTTTGCATAATGGCTATATTAGCTTTAAAACGAAGAAGTGTTTGTATTACCCTGACCTTCCCTTGTAATGTGGAATGGGGAGGATGGTCATTCACTGATAGAGATTTCCTTGAAAAGTTCTACACAATATCAGAATGTGGGACCAATTCCTTGTCTTGATTTAGTGGTCCAGTTAAATGGGAATGCAATTTTGACATTTCAGTAGATTTATGAAAATACTTAATTTGTTCTTCTGTCCCAAATCAGTAAGAAGAAAAATTTGAGGCTCAAAAGAATAGACAATGTTGACAAAAAAGCGCCACGAAGAGACATCAGTCTAGCCTGAAGCAATGATGCACATCTGTAATGGCAGGTACTCTGGAGCCTAAGGCAGGAGAATAACAAGTTTGAAGTCAAGCTTGGCAGTTTGGCCAGACTTTGTCTTAAAATAAAAATAAATAAGTAAATAAATAAAAACAACTGCAATGTATCTTAATGGTAGAGCCCTTGCCTAACATGTGCAAGACCCTGATTGCACTTCCCAGTACTGTAAAAATGGAAAATAAATAAATAAAAATCATTCTCGCTAGTGAAATTGTAATTCTCTGGTTTCTGATTCTAGAACTCAGTGACAGAAGTCTGAATTGCGCAGCCATTTTCTTAAAACTCTACATTTTGGAGCAGAAATGAATAATGCCATGCTTCCTCTATTCCCTGGTAACTACACAGACTGCCAAGTGGAGTCAGTGGGGACTGTGATTTCAGCTAGGGCTGAGGACCAGCATCTGTTTAACTTGCATTGGTAGATGTTTACTGAGGTGAAAGAAGCATGGAATGTATATATGGTAGCCACCATGATCGCTACGTGTTCTCGTAAGTCATTTCTTTCCTTAACCTTTCAACAACTCTCAGAGACAAGAACTTTTAGCCCTATTTCCTAGCTAAAAATCTATGCCCTAAGTTAAGCCACTTAAAATGGATCACATAAAAAGTCTGTCTCTATCCTGTCTTATGCTTTCACAGGAAGCTTTCATAACATATTCTTTAAAATTTTTCCATTGCTTGTGCATCTGCTTCTTTTTTGCCTTGCACACACACACACACACACACACACACACACACATGCACAATTTATAAATGCCTTGATTTGAATATACCTTCCTAATTACCTCTCAAGCTGAGCTTCTTGAACAGGTGATTTGCATACTTTGCCTGCCTTTCCTTTTTGCAGCTTTAAACTGTCACCAATTAGCGTCTATCTTCTGTATGTTTTTGATCTGCTACTTAGATGTGCTGTGTTTGGCCAGTACAGGAGATTATGCTATGTTCAGTGGTTTGCATTTCAAAATCCCTTTCTTCCTGAATATATTTTCACTGACACTCCTATTCACCCTTTAAGGGCCAACTGTATCTTGAGTGGCAGAAATCTTTTCAGGGTTATATTCCCATCTCACAATTGAGATAAACTTCTTTCTCTTGTCTGTTCCAACAAGAATGGATAATACATCTTAGTTCCAAGTTAATCCTTATGGGTTAAAATATATTTTGGAATGAGCTTTATGCAGACAGTAGAATGTATGCCTTTGGCATTATTTCAGTAGCATACTGTATTTATGATTCCATATCAGGTGTTCAGAAACACAGTTCCCTTGCCATGCAGGGGTAGCAGGAGCTCTCTCCCATAACAGTGATCCCTTAGCAGAAATTCAGCCATAGTATATCATACTTGATCAATAACTTGCCTTCTCTGTGGGCAGGCTAAGAATGGTTGAAGGATTGAGGTTATAGGGATTATTAAGAAAGTAAGGAGTAGTAGGATCTGCTTTATCCCTCACGTCTATTTCTCCAAGAGCTTTTGGTCATCTAAACAGGAATGGTTAGCTTACCTTTTACTGCCACAACTTTTTGCTCTGACAGCAGGAGCTTCCCTTTTAATGAAATGTTGAGAAAGATGGCAAGGAAAGCAACCAGCCCGTAGGAAAAATTTTTATCATAAACACGGAAGAATTGAATAAAAATGTTCTCTTCTCCCCCATTCTCTCTTTTTTCCTCTGGTACCTGAACCTAGGATAAAGGGTGCCAAATGATATCATTTTTTTTTCCTGTAGCATCTAATACTGGCCTTTCAAGAATTTTTAAAACACTTTCTTTCCTTCTTTTTGGTACCAGAGATCAAACTCTGGCCCTTGTGCTTGTGAGGCAGGCAGTGGAACCAGTGAGCCAAATCCCTGGCCCCCCTGTTTTTAAAAATACTTTTCATCTGATTTGGAATGGAAAGATTTTAAGATAATGAGAACAGGCCCCTAGATAAGATTGAAGAAAGCTGGAGACTGTGCAAAAGTTATAGGGTTACTCACCTTCCACAGGTTGTAGAAGCAGACCTGGAGTTGGTGTGGCTGTGGGTCACTCTGCTGGAACTTGGAACAACAGTGGAGCAGAGTTCGGTTTTGAGGTGGATTTGGGTGACTTTCTACCTGGTCATCTATAAGGTGGGATAAATTTATGGTCAACATTTACTGAATATCTACAAGTAACAGGAGATATTCTGTGGGGCATGGAGGAGTGTGTGAAGTGTTAAATCAGATAGACAAATCTCTTGCTCTTATAGCTTATGTTTTGATGGGAATCAAAGTCAATGAAGTAGAAATAAATGAAAAACATATTTCTGATAGAATGGGTTTTTCAATGGCAATGCAGTGTATTTAGAAAGAGGACAGATGAAGCTAGGACAGTCAGAGAGCTTCTTTGAAGAGAGAAGATCCTTGTGTTGAGATTTGATTGGTGAAAAGGACCCAGTGAAGTGAAGAGCAGAAGGAAGAGCATTCCAGATAGAATATAATTGCAGTGGTCCTAAGGCAAAAATGAATTCGGGGTGTTGAAGAAATAGAAGGTAAATTTATGGAAAGAGTTGGAAAAGAAGAGTTACAGAAGGGACACAGGAGGAGAGATGGATAGAAGGGAGGCAGATTCTGTAGAGTCTTCAAACCTTGGAAAGGAATTGGAATTCTATTCTAATAGAATGCCACTGTAGACATTTAATTAGGGACTGGCTGACACTTCACCCATTGGACAGTGTGCTTCACACACACACAGCTTTACTCTCAGTTCACTTTTCTTCTTGGTCACTCATTTCCCTTTCCGTGTTCTAGGCCAGTGCACTGTCGTAGTTGCATGAAAGACCAGGGCTCAGAGGACCCTGTGCCGTATTACCGGATCCTCTGAAATAGGCCAGTATACCTGCTTAATTTCACCTGCATTCATAAAAGTCTTTACTACTAGCTTTGATTTCTCAACTGCTTTTCAGACTGAATTATCTAGTGTCTCCATGAAGTCTGTGGGTTGGCTAGTAACATCTGAAACTAGATATCAAAAATTGTCTAGTAAGATCAAATTACATTTGGAATTAATTTGCAAGTTACTTTTACAAGAGGCAATATTCTAAATAACCCAAAGGCCTTGCTTCTTCTGGATTCCTGCTTCCTTTTCCTTTAAAATTTTCTTTGTCATCTGTCACTGGTGGATGCAGGTTCTGTTTATAGCACAGTTTTCAGTGGAAATGTACAGGACTCTTGTAGTATTTGTCATGGGCATGTACTATGTGTGATAATTTCACTTCTATCTGTCTTTATATGATCTTGATAGATTTAGAGTGTTGTACCGCAAAATTGCCTGAAATTCATTATTTCTGATAAAGTAGTAGGGCTAGTTTACCAGAAATGAACAGAAGTTCTAGCACTGGATCAATTATTCTTTGATTCCAGGATGACTCCCTCAGAAATATATTCTTGTCTAGAGAAGATTGGAACAGTTTTTAGAGAGAAATTGTTTGGGGGAATTCTTTGACCTGCTCATTCCTTAAATTGCATACTTAACTCACTACTGGCTTTTTGTATTCTTTTTGTTTAGATAGATTAGCATAAAATCTAGACATATTTTTATTTGAGGAGACAGTGATGATGTCTCAGAGACTGAAAAAACATTTGTGAGATAACTAATGTCCATTGATTGGCTTACAGTGCCAATATGTTTGCTCAGTTGCAACATTACTATGCTTGTCATTTGTTTTTATAATTATTATAACTATTAGCTTGTCATTTCAAAAGCTTTACCCATTGAACAAGAGTTCATCCTTGTACATTTGTATATATTAATTAAAACTCTAGGAATTTTTTTCTTTCTGAAAAATTATAATATGCTTATGCTGACAAGAGGGAGATCAGTATATGTCAGTTAATAATCTCAGATTTGTTTTCACATAAGGCAAACTTTCAGCACAGTTTCATAACTCCTAATCTATGATAATATGGGTGAGGATCATCTAGTTTATGGCTATGTTGCTGAGAAAATAAGTGTACCTGAACGCAAGTAACAAAATTATTTCCCTCTATAAAGGTACAGCATCTTTATGTCCATTGTTTTGTACAGTTCTTTTCAAATGCTTTTTAAATCCAAGATTTCATTAAATTCCAACTGCTTTTTATGGTATTGCTTAGATTTATATTAGATATCATTAAGTCTAGTGTAATGCACAAATAAATGTTAAGGGATTAAAAAGCTGTCCTTACCAGAACTGTTGAGCAAGGCGGATTCAGAGACAGAGGAAGAAAAAGAGGAGAGCTGTATGTAGGCCCTTGCTGAGAATTTTTTTTTTTTTGGTATGGGGGATCGAACTCAGGTCCTTCTGCTTGCAAGGCAGGCACTGGAACCACTGAGCTAAATCCCAGGCCCTGCTGAGAATTTGAATTAGTGTTTCTCACAGAGAATGATGTCTACAGAGGGCATCCTCAGTATGGTTGTTTATTTTTTTTTAATTCTAAGAAAAAAAATGCCCTTTTAGATTTGTTTTCTCTTATCCTGCAAGAATATGACATTACAGAAACACAGTGTTTTTGCCTTTGATCTGATTTCATGAGCTCACCTTCCCCTATGCCGTCAGATTTTAGTTCTCTTCAGTATCAGCCTGTTTCTGACCTTGGTAGAGGTTTCTTCTTAGAATATATTCTGGCATAAAATGTTTCAGCCAGGACTAGAGAAGGAAATCTCAAACACTTTTATTGAACTTTTGGGCATTTCTTTAATATGATTCCTTAATGTTACAGACTAGAGAAAGCAGAAATAAAGAATATGTACATTTTTTGAGGTAAGTATAAAGCCAAAAATGTGTAAGAGATGAGATCATAGCTTTTATTTAATTTATAAACTGTTTTTTGTGGATAACTGCCTACATTTAAAAATTGGAAAATAGTTTATCAAGTTGCCTTTGGTTGAGAGCAGTGAAATGATTATCCAAGTTAGATACAAATAACTAAGAATAGATTTTCAACTGCTTTCCAAAAACAGCAAATCACTTAATTTATAATTGTATTTAATTGCTAGAGTGTGATAGTTATGAGACTTTTCTGTTATAAATGATGAGATGGGGTCAGGGATTTAGCTCAGTGGTTCTGTTGCCTGCCTTGCAAGCACAAGGTCCTGAGTTTGACTCCAGGTACCAAAAAAAAAAAAAAAAGAGAGAGAGAAGAGAGAGAAAAGAAACGTTATAAATGATGAGATAAAGGACACTGTTATCCAAATACTTTTGATATTTGGAGCCAGTGTTTTAGGTAAATGTCAAAGGAATTTAATTATTCTTATTTTGTCCCAGCTATGCTATAGATAAATTATAATTGTCATTGAATTTTTTGATAACCAGGATGTTAGGAGATAGTTATGGTTTTTGATCATGAAATAAATCTTTGCAGGCGTTGAATTATTTAGAGGACAAATCTGGTTCACTTATTGTAAACAAAAACCAAAAATACTAGTTTTATAAATTTGGTGATTAAGGCTCTTCTGCTTTAAAAATAAAATAATCATATGCTTGTAAAAATCTACTCAAGCCCAGTGTGGTGGCACACACCTGTAATCCCAGTACTCAGGAGGCTGAGGCAGGAGGATTGCTGTGAGTTTGAGACCAGCCTGGGCTACATAGTGAGTTCCAGGTCAGTCTCAAATACATAGTGAGACCCTGTCTCAAAAAACCAGAAAAAAAAAACCCCAAAAAAAACTACTCAAGCTCTTTGCCTATGAACATCAATGGTGCTATACAGGTACCTTCATAATAACATTTATCAAACATGATTTATGTTATGGATTTTTTTCTCTGCTATGTGCACAATGCAGTTATGATGATGATTAACAAGACTATTATATTGGTAAGCTTTCCCTTTGCTGGGACACAATACTGACACCCACAACTTAAAGGAGGAGAGATTTGTTTTGACTGTTAGTTTCAGTCCACAATAGGTAGGTTTGCTCCAAAGCAGAAACATAGTGGTGAAAGGCCGTGGCAGAGCAAAGGTGCTTAGTTCAGGGTGGTCAAGGGAACAAGTGTTGGAGAGATACGGTTGAGGACCAAATATAGAGCCTAAGGTCACACATGTCATGACCCAGCCACACCTAGAAGTTTGCTTTAGCAATCATGTAGAGGCTCCCAAACCAAACAAGTTAACACAAAGCAAGCTTCACCATTACATTCTATTCATCAATTTGACAACCAAATATATATATATCTTTAAGCCATACTCAATCTCTAACCACAATAGCAAGTTAATAATTCCATCAAATGTTATAACTACTGCATACAACCTACAATGTAATAATTTTCCCCTCAAAGTCTCAACAGTTGCACTATTATTCAAAGTCCAAGTCAGTCTCTTCTGAGATTCAAGACAAACTTGGCTGTGAACTTTTGTACTGCGAGGTAAAATGACACAGAGTAAACATTCCCATTGCCAAGGGAGACACCGAGGGATAGGAAAGAATCGGACTAAAGTAAGACCACAAGCCAACGGGCAAACCTTCAGTCCTTTAGCTCCATGTCCAGTGTCAGAAGCACACAGTGGTAAGATATGAATTACAAAGGGCTTGAGTGGCCCCACCCTGTGGTCTTGCCAGTTGGAGCATACACAGCCCGTCTCTTGGGCTGCCTCCACTCACAGCCTGCAGCTTTCCTGACATCCCATATTTTTGGCATTTCTGACTTCCTAATGTCTTTACTATACCTTTGGCTTCATTCTCACAGCTTTATATGCTGCCCTCTCACTGGCCTACTGGACCTTCTTTGAAATCTGAGTGGAAGCCTCTCTGACCCTACAACTCTTGCATTCTGCTTACCAGTAAAACCAGCATCAATCACATAGATAATACCTAGGTCTGTCTCCAGCACTGGCAGTAGCCAGCCTCTCCTAAAACCATGACCACAAAAACCTCTGAATGCCTGGATGGCTAAGCATGGTGAAATAAACCATAAGAAATCAATTCCCCAGGCATCCATTCTTGAATGAAGGACCCAAGAGCTCTCTTCTCAAATGAATGTTTTGTGACCATGAGTGAGTGGGGTCTTACTAATACCTGAGATGGCTTTAAGGCATCTTTCTTTTTGTTTCTATATAGAGGACTTGTTTTCCTTTGCACAGTGCTAATCTCTTTGCAGTCACATCTTATTTGG